TAAAAAAGGGCGAGTATCACAATTCTTTATTTTGATCCAATTAATTTCTTATCGTATCAAGAGATTAATACACTAAGAAATGTTTTTTTTTTTGCAAATATCATGTACATATACTGTATACATATACATTCTAGGAATGAATGAATGAATGAGTGAATGAATGAATGAATGAATGAATGAATGAATGAATGAATGTGGCAAGGTGTGAACGATCGGAACGTCTGCGAAGGGAAACTTTATCTCCTTGTTTTTGGATACATTGTTGGAAAAGAACGGTACTGTCAGAGTAAGGGGTTGTAGGTGGAACCACAAAGAATCGATCCCACTTGGCTGGGCCACAGAGTACTCAAAAGGTCTGCAGAGGTGGAAGCAGAAGTACGAGGGCGAGAGGAGATGGGATGGTGTGGAGTGAGGTATTACTCTGGGGAGGAAATAAAGATGAAGAGTAGTAATAAGTGGGGAGGGGGTAGACAGAGAAGAAGACTGTGCTGTAGGAGATGGAGTGGACAATGTAGGGAGAGAGGAAGGGGTGCATTCTGAAGGTCGAGTAATGACCAGGGTGGTTCAGAATGGATGTTGTCAGTAGACTTCGATGGTATTAGTATCAGTGGTAGGAGCCGTGGTCAAAGGAAAGGCGGGAAACCAATGAAATCAAGTCAAGATAGGCTAGTTGATGAAGGGGCAAGCCTTAATGCCCCTAATAAGGGTAATAACTCTTGATCAATGGCCATGGTGAGCCTGAAGTAAGAGGGAAAAAGTAACGGTCTACCACTCAGGGTCCCCATAAGGGTCAATGGCTAGGCCAGTATACACACACACACACACACACACACACACACACACACACACACACACACACACACACACACACACACACACACACACACACACACACACACACACACACACACACACACACACATACACATGTATATGGATACTTGTTGACCTTAATGCTGACGCTGATAGGCGCGGAGGCAACCGCATTGCAGTGGCCCATGCCAGTTAAAGTTAAAAAGAAAAGAACATATTTTACATTTCTTATTTAAGATTTTAGAGTTAATGAACTGCATATTATATTATCCTTCAATCCAAAAACCCTGATTTTTCCTATATCATCCATGTTGGCACAAATATGGAAGGTGAAGGTTTGCTGCAGAAATGATCATGCGGTTCTTTTGGTCACATGAAAAGACAAAAATAGAAAACTTGCATCTCATCTGGTTATATAGTCATCTAAGTAAAATCGTTTGGGGTGTAATGTTCGTTTGTATGGAATCCTTGGTTGCACCTTTCTCCAGCAACACCATAAATTTTGTAATAAATGAATATTAATCATTATTATTGTCCAGCACGTAAATTACCACAATAACAAATGTCAAACAAAAAGAAAAACGCAGTGATACTTTATTTCAACCAAGGTTCCTCACATTATCACAAGACCTTATGACACTTATATAAGGATAAGCAACCATTGCTGAAATACTATCACGTGTAATATCTCAAAACTCACCTTTAACCCTTTGCATCTCGTAGATTTGGGCAGACCGAGCAGACCTTCCAGATTTGCGTGGCCCTATTTTTTGTTGTTGTTTTCTTAGATTGAAGTTGATACAGAAGAGTACTGTTTCAGACCAGTGAATCTTTTCTTGTTTCGTATTATCAAATGTAACAAAACTAGAAAATAAGGAATCCAAACAAAATCCCTTAAATATAAAGTGGATAGATACATAAGAATTGACCCAAACTCTGGCTTAATTAAAAAAGAAAAAAACGGTATAAAAGTTTAAGACAGTGAGGATTCAAACTAGCTTGGTTCACAGGTTTCGATACAGTCTATTCGCACAAGATTCTGGTGGCCTTGCTTATGGATGAAATTAGGCAATGGGCACACAGTGCCTTTGCAGTGTTTCTCTCGTGATGTTGCATATATATATATCATATATTAATATATATTATATATATATATATATATATATATATATA